GCCCATTTATGGACCAAAAACCATATCTCAGGAAGTAGTCGACCGATTTCAATGAAATTCGGTATATAATATTTTCTTAATACCCTGATAACATGTACCAAATATGGGTGAAATCGGTTCACAACCACGCTTGAAATCTCGATTATCACTTTATCATGCGAGAGTATAAAATGTTCGGTGACACCCGAACTTAGCCCTTCCGTACTTGTGTTCATACTAGCTTACCGCGCAGGTGTTGTGAAATTATGTGTTTTGAAATGAAAGGAAAATTGAATTAAGGTTGTGTTAAAAATCATTTATTTTCGATTTCTCTAAATTTTTTTCATTGTTACGCAGCTTGATAAACAACATTTTTGATCTGCTCCGGTGCGTAAATGTACAAAGAAGATGGTTTTTCAACTTTTGAAGAAGCCACGTGTAGCTGGCCGTGTGAAAAACATGACATTTCTTTATTTATGTCACACACTTCTAGCGACTATCCTGTTCATTGTCATCGCAAATGTAATTTGCACTGGAAACTGAATACGTTCGAACTGAAATGGCAAATCGTTGGAACTCAAAGAAATTCGTAGAATCAAACTATCCTTTGCATTTGCACAGCGTTCCCTAACAAATACCGATGCATGGAGATTGCTAAACATAATAATGACAGATCTTCGAGGTGCAAAATGCGGCGGCATACCAAGCTTCTCTAAAGATTTTAGAAAATCCCCTGGATAATTCACGGCGTTGGCAATTCCATTGATTATCATGTTTCAGCAATTGTAATTGCTGGCAGGCTTCTTAAATAGTTGCACACACCGTACCATTCACGCAATGACTCAAATGAATTTCAACCACGTGCATTTATCACTAGCAACCGAAGCTAGAAGCAATCGTCGTTTTTCGGGTGGAATGTGTAAATTCGTCTTAAGGCATTAGTTGAGAACACACCTGGATGTCAATTTACTGGTTGGTCTTGCTTTGTGCTTACTATTTCTTATAATAACAAGGCATTTCTAAAGGGCATTTCGCAATGGTTGAATTACACTCTTTAACTGAGAGACGCACAACACAAAAACATTTGATATTTGCTTATCTCATCTCGCTCAAGGTCAATAACCGCCATATTGCTTCTTTGGTGAGGTATTTGAAAACGTAATGGTCGATTTTACTAAACTGCAATTGGATTTCCATCATTTCCAGTTTGCGTTTCTGAAAGAAAAGCACGTGAATAGTGTTTAATGAATTTATTGTCACACGTACAAACCGAAGTGTGATTGCGGTGCCCGCAAGGTCCATGCCATGTTGATTTTCATGACTGTGTATAATACTGGATCTTTCTCTGCATCAGGAATTTCCGCAGAAATGATTTCATCAATTTGATCTGGTGTAACCACCATCCATCATCCAAAGAAGAATGTGTTTGTGCGGCAGTACATACAGGATCTAACGGCACCATATATACCATATGTTACTTCAAGATAAGGTCCGTCAAACATCGTAGCTGTTGTTAGAAAAATCCGCTATCCATAATTCCGCACGTATGTCATCGCATTATGGGGGTACTCGTTCACGTGTTTTGGCCTGCCAGACGTTGATTGCAAAAAGAACGCCGACCGATATTAGCGCGACCTCTTCGTGACTTCGTAATAAATTTCAATCTGTAATTGATCACTTTGCGTGAAACACACATAAAGTTTTCACTGAATAATTTTTCTTTTGAATAGCTGGAAGAAATAGCAAGCGACCGAAATTGAACGATTAAAGTAATTTCAAATCAAAATACTGAAAAACAAAACAAAAAATAAATAGAAAAAAATGTGTATGGAAAAAAGTGACTTTTTGGAATTATCCAATTTTCCGATTTTACCTCATGAAAATTATTAAGTTTTTTATTTGTAAACCTTTCCCGATTCACATCAAATAACCTCTGCAAATTTCATCATGATTGGCGCAACCGTTCTCGAGCCTTAGTGTTACTAACAATCAAACAATTAAGAAATGGGCTGGGATTTAGGTGTATTCCGGCAATTATTCGAATTATTCTCGCCGTAAAAACTATCTTTGAACTTCAACGAACATTTAAAAAAAGAATTAGTCCAGAAGTTGTGAGTTATGCGTTTACCAACACATTTTGTGATTCATTTATTGTATATTAAAAATGTATTTGAAACTTGTTTACTTTTGAATTTCAAAATTCCTTTTTGTGTCGCTTTGGTTGGGTAAGTTTTCATCCCATTTTAAGGAAAAACACTATATCTTAATTTCATAACTCACAACAAGATAGCTCTTATATTGGCCAATGTATGCGGTATAAAGCCGGAAGTTCTAAAATATTTATTTCGTATAAATTATATTATAAGTAGTATATGGGCCTAAGAGAAGTACTGACCAATTTCAACCCATTTTTGATAGACAGAACATACTATTATCAGCAAAGGATTCTCTCCGAATAGCATATAGCAATCTTACACATTGACTGACTTTCGGTAAAAAACAAAATCAGCTGTAGGCCCTGGGGTCCAAATTTCGGCGTTTTACGGCGAGTTACGGCTCGTTTACTTGAGAAGGCATAACTTAAAAGCAATATTGGTACAAAATCTTATCCTAATACATTCATTGCTGCTTGATTTGTATACTGAAAAGTGAAAGTAATGGAATTTAAAATTATGTTATGTTAAATAATTGTAGTTTTTGTCTGATTTCGTCGATCTTTACACCATAATATAGGATTATATCAAATTTGGTTGTAAGTAGTAAAGTAGGTTCAGAGATATGGGATTTGACTTAAAGGTGAGGGGTGCCATGCCTATTCACACCGGCTTCCATAAATTCTTCTCATAAATTTTATATCTCTGTCATATTTAGTTATTGAGCTGTCGCACTTTTAGTAGTTTATATCAGTTATATATATATATCTGGATTGTGAGGGGCTTTTAATTCGATTTCACCAATTTTTGCAAGTAGGAAAGAGGTGTTGAAAAGATTTGTCCTACGAAAGTATGATTACGCTTAAATAGTATGGTAGACATACTTATATGTATATAATATTTAAGCTATTAGGGGGTACGCCGACTTTTTACAAATATTTAGAAGCCACAATTGTCCCGCTCTATTGCAGTTCGTATTACCAAATATTATAATATTATGGAGCTTAGTTATAGCGCTTTATATATTTTCGATGGGCAATGATTCGATTTCGCCCATTTGCAATGCCAAGCAAAAAGAAATTCGTATGTGCGAAGAGTTTGACATATGTACATACTTGCAGGGGTAATGCTCGAAAACTCTATGCAAAGATGCGGCGACTAACAGAAGGGTTTCAAGACCGGTTCATACTCTTGTAGAACCCTCAGAGGTGATCTAGTGACTAATGCCCAGAGCATACTAAAATTATTGAGGGAACATATAACGCTAGGAGAAAACGAACCCAATTTCCCACTCGATGACGATGGAGCAGACGTTCAATTGCCCGACCATAAAAAAGTTCGAAAGCAATTATCCGTCTGAAGAATAACAAAGCGGCAGGGGTCGATGGATTGCCGGACGAACCATTCAAACACGGCGGAGAACTGCAGAGCTGAATGGAAAAGGCACAATCTTTTATAAGGGTGTACACCTGCTGGCGTACGTCGATGATTTTGACATCAACACATGCGCTTTTAGTTCTGTTTTCTCCATACTAAATAAGAGAGCGAAAGAAAATCGTCTGGTAGTAAACGAGAGCAAGACAAAATATCCGAAATAAACAGTCGTCGCACTCTCACGTCACTTCTGACCGTCATAACTTAGTTTTGGAACCAGTATTAACACCAATAACAATGCCAGCTTCGAAATCCAACGCAGAATAATTCTCTCATTATTCCCGTCTTGCCATATGGTGCAGAGATTGAATGAAAACATCTGATGAGTGGACGTTACGAGTTTTCTTTTACGCATTGTCAATGGGAATATCATATTCGATGACATAGACAGCGGCTACCATAGTTAGATAATGTCGTCCGAATGGATGAAATCACTCCGTCTCTGAAAGTATTACGTTAAAAAGTCCAGGTGGAGAAGGACCTGGCTACACTTGAAATCTCCAATTCGCGCCAAATATCGAAAAAGACGAACGACTGTCGCACTCTTGTAAATTCGGCTATGACAGTGTAAGCATTGTCTCCGCCAATAAGGAAGAAAAATATTCACCTTAAGTTATTATTATTATAAATTGTAAATTTTTATTCTGAGAAGAGAGTTCGTATTTTCGTAACTCTGTTTCTAACTTCCATCGTGTTAGCTGATGAAAACAACCGTCAGGTGCATTTAACTATTATTCTCTGTAGTAACATGTTTACGAAAAGTTAAAAAATGCGAGTAGTGTCATTATAGATTATTCTTTCGACTGTATTAACAATAGTACCCTAAACTGCAGCAACTACAACAATCACGCTATCTTCTACTTGCAATGGCACACAATATGGCGTCGAACCCATCGCTAGCCCAACATTCGCTCTATACAGATCCCACTACATCCTAATTAAAATATCAATATTTACACAATTAATAAGAATAAATTTGGATAATTTAAATTTTGAGTCTTTCGTGATAAGATTGATATTGGTGGTTTGGATGCAGAATAAAAACCCCCGAATTCGGGGTAAAAATAGATATAATATGATTGCACCATTTAAATATAGTAAGTATAAAAATAATTTAAAAGGACATTTTTAAATAAAGAAGTTAATTGCATTAACTTACCTCATTGCGTTGAATGTTTGCGTGAAGAGCAGTCCATTTAAGGGAGAAATTTTGACTTAATTCAAGCCATAAATCTTGAATTCGGGTGGAATTATCCCTCAGGTACAGTTTAATAGCAGAAATTTCTTTGGAAAAGTTTGTTGATAATTCGCTCATATTCACAGTTCTTGCGTGAGTATCTATTAATTTTGCCTGAAACGAATGCATATTAAGTAATTTGATATCTCAAAATGATACAAGTTTTTTGTCGGTCACTTCATAGTTCGACGTACTTTGAAACTACGGTTGAACTTCCCAAATCGAATCAACACAATTGACAAAAAATCTTCAAGATCAAAAGACTTCGAGAAATAGAAGTTTTCATTTAAACATAACATTTTTCGAAAAGTTCTAAAATATGCTTTTATACTCAGTCTTATTAGTTACCTAAAACACGCATTATTTAATTTTTGTTTGAACATACCATATATTTTTTGAAATACTTGTAAGATTCCAATCTGTTTAGTGCTTTGTAGTGATGGTTAGTTGTATTAATATTCGTATTTAAATAGGAAGTTAAAATTACAAAGGACTTTTGTATGACGGTTGAATAATTGCTTCTTCGGAATTCTCATAATCGATGGTGCAAGAAGTCATATCATCTCTTATAAATCCGGCTGGTGAATTCTATTGTCCACTCCAAAATATTATGTAATAGTACCATTTAGAGGAATAAATACACGCGGTGACTTCTACTTGAGCAGAATAACGTGCCAATTTAGAATTACGATTTATGGAAGGAAATTTGTATAAAATTTATCTTCTATTGCCAATTCAAGAGTTCGAGTTATGACGAACTTCGAGTTAAGGAAGTTTGATTTATTGAATTTGAACTGTAAGTTTTCCTTGTCTCTTTTTTTTCTTTTTAAACAAAGAAACCTGTGTAATGTATGTATATGTAAATTCGCTTCAATAATTAAACGAATTTATAAAGGAATAATGAAAAAATCTCCATAATAAATTCCGATGCTCTAAATTTCAACCTTCAACAACTTTAACAAAAAATAGAATTTTAACGAAATATTTGTATCATCGGGTATGCACCCTTCCTAATGAACTGCTAATTTTCAAAATCGATGATTTTGCGAAATTTTCATGGACCCTTTGGCGTCGTTTCACCCTTGGGCGTCCACTGCGTTCACAGTCTTCGGATCTCATTTCATCACTTAGCATAGAAATCCTTGATGGATGATTTTCCAGGGCCTGAGCCAAGTCTTCCTTTAACTGTATTTTTTCACAAAGTACTGATCCGAAAACTGTCAAATTTATTAATGCATCTTTTGAAGGTTAGGGCTAAGTAATCTAGTAGTATCTATTTAATGTAGTAGCGGCGTCGATGTGTCAAGCCGAAGACTTTTCAATTGACCTGTTAATACCATTTTAAAGAGAATATGCAAATGAGATAAGATTATATTTCAGTAGACAAGTACGCTATATACCTGTGTGATTACAAATTAAATTGATAACTACAATGTATATTTACGTATAGTAATCATACGTCTGAAGAAAATCAAAGCAGCGGGGGCCGAAGAACTCTAAAGGAGCATGTATCAGCTTCTTTGTAAAATATGGTCGGACAAAAGCACGCCCAACAATTAGAATTTAAGTATGCTCTGCCCAATCCACGTGCGACAAGCGTCCTTAACATCGCATATAAGGTTCTATCGAGCGTATTGTGTGAAAGGTTAAAGCCCACCGTCAACAAACTGATTGGACCTTATCAGTGTGGCTTTAGACCTGGAAAATCAACAAATGACCAGATATTCAGGCTAGGTCAAGTTGTCCGAATGGACGACAACAATCCAGCTCTGAAAGTATTCGACTCAGTACCCGTCGGGGGAAACAGAGAAAGAGGAAGACCTCCACTCCGTTGGAAGGACCAGGTGGAGAAGCACCTGGCTTCGCTCGGAATCTTCAATTTGCGCCACGTAGTTCAGTTAAAAAAAAAATGAATTCTTTCAAAAATAAAAATAGGATATGAATTCAAACGGAATGTTTCTTTGTTAGTGATATTTGCTTATTTTGTATTTGTTAATGTGATATTAAAAACATTACTTTCGAATATTTTGATTGCCATCCACTCTAATGGAAGGACACGCGTTCTAAATATTCCGTTATTCCAAACAGGTCATTTGATCTTGCCAAAAGAACGTTGATAATAATAAATGATGTTCCTCTTCTTCTCTTAATTGGCGTAGACACCGCTTTCGTGATTATAGCCGAGTTAAAAACAGCGCGCCAGTCATTCTTCTTTTCGCTACGTGGCGCCAATTGGATATTCCAAGCGTAGCCAGGTCCTTTTCCACCTGGTCCTTCCAACGGAGTGGAGGTCTTCCTCTTGTTCTGCTTCCCCCGACGGGTACAGCGTTGAATACTTTCAGAGCTGGAGTGTTTTCGTCCATTCGGACAACATGACCTAGCCAGCGTAGCCGCTGTCTTTTAATTCGCTGAACTATGTCAATGTGGTCATATATCTCATACAGCTCATCGTTCAATCGAATGCGATATTCGCCGTGGCCAACGCGCAAAGGACCATAGATCTTTCGCAGAACTTTTCTCTCGAAAACTCGCAATGTCGAMTCATCAGTTGTTGACATCGTCCAAGCCTCTGCACCATATAGCAGGACGGGAATTATGAGTGACTTATAGAGTTTGCTTTTTGTTTGTCGAGAGAAGACTTTGCTTCTCAATTGCCTACTCAGTCCGAAGTAGCACCTGTTGGCAATAGTTATCCTGCATTGGGTTTCCAGGCTGACATTGTTGGTGGTGTCTACGCTGGTTCCAAGATAGACGAAATTATCCACGACTTCAAAGTTATGACTGTCAACAGTGACGTGAGTGCCAAGTCGCGAGTGCGACGACTGTTTGCTTGATAACAGGAGATATTTCGTCTTGCCCTTGTTCACTGCCAGACCCATTTGATTTGCTTCCTTGTCCTGTCTGGAGAAAACAGAACTAACAGCGCGGGTGTTGACGCCGATGATATCAATATCATCATTTATTCAATTATTTCTTGAAATTAATCAGTCATGATTATTTATTTCTAGAAGTGAATCTTACGGAAAAAAACGGTGTATTTATGATAGCTTTTTGCACGGTCCAAAAGCATGTCGAACGAGTGTTTTAACAGAACAAACCGTACTCATACGTTTTTTAAGCCCAAATGTTCGGTCAAAATGTGATAAATCGATGTTTTGGAGATGTTCAATTCCATTTGCATGAATTTCAGTGATCATTTCGGCAGATTTTTGATGAATTCACGCACAGTTTCGATGGAATTTCCGGTGATCACGGATTTTGATTGGCCCACATGTTGATCGTCATTTATTTCCTCATGACCACTTTGAAAACGTTGAAACCACGCGTGCACAATGCTACGTGGTTCACTTAGAATCATTGAAATTCTCACTGGGCAATCGATAAAGATAGCAGATTCTACACCAGTCGAAATATAGATGCCTTAACTAGGGGGCGCTTCATTAAAATTCCTGTTTTCTTTGGACCGCACCTTGTAACAGAGTGTATACTTTCAACTTTTCCCATAACGCTCAGTATTGTAAAAGATTTAAAACCGAACACATAAATTCTACATTCTTTTGCAAAACCATAAAGTTAGGAAAACAATAATACAATGTATTCAATACAAGTAAAAAGAAAACAAAATTGTATATTTAATATATGTATGTATAGTATATGGGAGTTGAAGTAAGCATTCTCAAATTAAGAACATGTTCCCAGGTTCCCTCCTCCTCCCTCCCGTGTTCAGCAATAATATGTAGTGCAGTTAGTCGGATGTTCGAAAATCCTGATATTAGTTATATCTATTTTAGGCACCAACGTGTACCTTTACACGCTCTCTAATTTTCAATGATATAACCAATTGGCGGATATATGCAGCATAAAGGCACTCGAAAGTTCGAAAATATTTATATTATTTATATGGGTTCCCAGGGAAGTATTGACCGGATTCAGCCCATTTTTCATACACAGAGTTACTATTAGTTATTATTAATTCTCTCTGAATTTCAATTGTATATCACATATATTATTTATATGTATATTATATTTTCGGCCCAAAGTCAACAATAGATTCTGGGGTCTACATATTCCGGACCTATTGGCTTGAAGAGTGTTGGTATGATTTGGGTAGTTTTCGGAAGAAAGTAAGTAAGCCACATTTACTTTAAAGGAATTATTAGTGCAAAAGATATCCCGTTATATTAATTACTTCCTGATTTTTGTAATGGAAAGTGAAACAATCAAATGTAATTTAAAATTGTGTGAAAAGTGGCACGAAAATCTTCTTCTGATATTCTGTGCGAAAATGGACGAAATTGGGTTCAATATTTTCTATAAAAAAATTTTAAATTCCATATGATTTTTTCACATTCCAGTATTCAAATAAAGAACCAATGTATATAACGGGATACAACTTTTAACGAATTGTGCCTTAAAGAGTTTACTGACTTTAAGAACTGTTTAAGCCACTAGCTACCGAATAAGTATTTATTTAAATTTTACTGAAAATATCGGTCTATGTGTGATGGGCGCAATCTATAAGTAAAATTCGGAGATAATAATATTTTCTTATAATAATATGTCTGAATGTCACAAATGGGTTTAATCGAGTCAAGAAGTATTGAGATATATATATATGTATATATATATCTAATATAAAGATTTGAAAACTTCTAATCCCTATATACTAACTAATATCAGAATTAATTAGAATATCCGACCGCCTTTACTCCATATAGATTTTTGATGGTATTTTAGGTACCCTAATTAAACACAGGAATACTGAGATTGCCGAAATCGCGATAAACCGTTTTTAAGTAAAACTAAAATCACTTAATCAAACATCAAAAGAACACTATCTTTCAGTAAACCAAGTCCTTCAATACAACCTTATCTCCGAATGGACATTGTGTATCAAAACATGAATAAACGAAATACTTTGTGGTGCCTTCACATACATACTATTTTATTTTATTAATATTTCCTACAAAACTTTCTTAGGACCGTTTTCACAATATAAATGATTAAGCGCTTCTCCAGAACTTTGTCGGCAATATGTTGACAAATGGTTTTCTCAATATCTGGTTAGCAACCATCCATCAGTAAAATTCTGGTCAACTTTACAGAAG